TGTATGTTACTTTTTCCCGAGTCACTCATCCTGATAGTCTGATAGTTTTAACTTTAGACGATGATGGATAAAATTCCATTACTACTACTAATGTCGTCTAGCTATAAAGAGATTTTCAATAATGTATAATTTAAGCCATTGATATTATGTTTTTTTTTTTTTTATATACAAAAATGACAAAATTGCTATATAGCTTATCTACATAGAAAATATATCTTCCGTATAAATAATTTATATAACTGAGTTGCTAGACAATGAGCTAATTAGCCCAATTAATACAAATTATAAACACTGATATATAAAATCTCTAAAGTTGCAACACCGAATGCGTATATCTACACGTTAGTTATTAATTGGGCAATTATTTATTCGAATTCAAGCATTTATAACATCAGAAAACATAATCTGTGCAACTCAATTCTTCAATTATATTATATAATATTCGATTTTATAATTTATACAATTGTATATCGATATAAATATTTTTAAAATTTTATAACAAATTCATTCCGTGCAACGCACGGGCGCAAATACTAGTTTGTTCTATATACAAAATTCACTCTTAAGGTACAAAATTTCATAACACAAGACGCAAAAAACTCAAAACACAAGACACATACACATGCTTTATAGTTAAAAAAAAAATTGTAACGTAAATTGGACAACCAAACAATCACTGTCAAAATTAAATAAATCGTTGTTCAAAAACGATGTTATACAGGACCAGAGTCCACGGTGTAAGGATGTTACATTTATTTTGTTTTGTTTTGTTTTGTTTTTTTTTTTTTTTTTTTTTTTTTTTTTTGCACACTAAATATATAAATGTGTGCATTGAGATAATTATAGTTAAAAGATTTAATTAAGTTTAATATTTTTTAATCAAATGTACTATAGTAACAAGTTTGTTCGAAATGGAATCAACACGGACTATTATAATAATGTACGTTAAATATAATTTAAATGAATTTAATTATAGTATGATCTTAATAACGATGCACGTATAATTGTATAAATAGATACTACGTATTACTTTTACCTTACATCAAGATGTACGAATTGAAATAGTTTTTGATATTTATCTAGCTACTTTGTTTATTATTATGGGAAAAAAACAAAAACAAAATAAAATAAAATAAAATAAAAATTCTAGGTAGTGACATTGATTTTTTCCTTTTAGGAGAGGTTTCTATTAGAAATGACAGGTAGATTTTATACGAGTATGGATATTACTCTGTAATTATTTGAAACGGGTTCATGTGTGGATTTATATGGCGGGTGTATATTGGTTAACTCCGTTTTTATATGTAATAGATCCTAAAGTCTAAACTACATACGAGAGATAAATTATAAGGGTAGCTGAGTTGGTAATCACAATGTTTTAAGTTTGACTTCTTGAATGAATTGTCTATTGTCTTTATTAATTTAGTATATTAGCATATGCAACCGGCTTAATAGTTCAACAGACAGTATTTGATAAAAGAGATCAATGTTCGAACTTCGGCGGCGATAGTGTGGGGATTAGGTCTAAAATAGGCCGATCACTTGTGCACACTAATATTTAACTATGTCTATTGCGTCTTTGAGTCACCGTAATTTACATCCTCCTAAATTGTATCGAGAATTAGCATGGGCAACTGAGATTAATGATAAACATGTTTAATTTGTAACAAATTCAGACCGTAATGATAGTAATTAGGTTTGAGTTCACGTTGTTGTGTTTTGGGAGTGTTTCGGATATAGTGTTTAATGGAGGGTTATTTGTTTAATTTCTGTGACGTGTGTATAGACACACTGCCTTAAAAGCTAATTCCGGAGACCGTGCGAGTCTTTTATATCCGGGGCTTTCGACCAGCAAACACAGAGGATACTCACGTATAGGTTGCACAGAGTATACGTATTAGCGCAGTTGCTGAATGCATTTGCGGTATGGGAAGGCTGGGTATTTATACTAGTTTATAATAACTGCCTTCCCACTACTACCACAATTAAGAACGCAAAGAAAGGATAGGTCGCGCACAAACCAGCCACTACGCAGCTCGAATTGCTCCTGTCCACAAGAACGTTTCCTGAGCGCAAAAATAGGACTAGAAGACTGATTCAAAAATAAAAAATTCGGACAAAGTATAAAACTTTGACCCCACCCCACCACGCGATCCAAGCAAGCGACAGCAGCGCGTGCAAGGCTCCCCCTTTCCTCTCTCTAGAAAACACTTCAAAGGACCCATTTGGGTTGGTAGTGACATAGTGGGAAATATCCTCTTGGGAAATCAATGTGGGACAAGCTTATTTGCTAAAACACACTCTTTGAATGTCTTCTTCCCAACACACGTTACATTTAATAAATTGGTACCGGACTGAGTGTCATCCGTGATATTATATTTAATCACGTACACTCACATTGATTTGGATTAAATATAATGTTGTCCCTCTTTCATATAAGAAGACTTGAAGAATCGCAATAGAATATTCCTTTTCTGCCGACAGTAAACCATGGTTCCATTTTATGACCAAACTAAGGCTAGCTTGTCCATTAAACTAGCGCACAACATATCTGCAATCTGCATGTACCCCACCATATATCCATAATACAAAATCTTCCATCCTATACCGATATTGGATGGCGAAGTCCTTTGAAAAAGTTAAGGGGAAAAAAAAATCAGCAAATTACTCATTGATCAATCGAACACGTAGCAGTGGTGGAAAAACTTGTCTTTTTATCCTGGAAAAGACCATAGAGAAAGACAACGTGGATAACATATATACAATAATAACAAGAGTCACAAGATATACTAAAATGACAAAGCAGATGCACCCACACTACTATATGTTATGGTCGGAATCGTGTAATCTATAATCATATAAATGTGATTTTTTTTATATATAAAATATTTTAAAATTAGATCAATTTTCTTTTTATTTAGAAAATATATTATAATCTAGTATTTCGAAATAATTATTGAATTAATTTGTTTTTTCAGTACGCAATATTTACTTCTTTTTTTATATTACAAAAAATGAGATACCCATACAAACTACGCCTACAATGAGGCTCAAAACCTAGACCTCCCACATAGGGGAGCAATCCAATACCAGTGGACCACAAGCCACTTGGTATGCATTCAATATAAAATGTATAAATTTAGTACGGTAAGTGGTTAATTTTCTAATTTTTTTTGTTTGGTTTTTGTTTTCCCTTTTTAACATTTATTAACATAGTACTAAGGTTAGGTACTTAGGTGGTTGTTTTATTTAATTCTTTTATACTTGTACGGACTAGGACCGTAAGACGGGTCAGATCGAGATGAAATGTATATTTATACTAGCAAATGTAATATTAAATAATAAATAAAATATTTATTACTTATAAGGAGAAATGTAATACTTTTACATTTTGATGTAAAAGTATTATATTTTCTCTTATAACCCTTATAAGTATTATAAGAGAAAATATAATATTTTTGATGAAAAAAGTAATACTTTTATATAAGAAAAGTATTACATTTTCTCATATAATTTAGTAATTTGTATTACATTTACTATTATAAGTATTATATTTTTATATTAACCCCGATTGATCTCACAGATAAAGATTCATAAGACGATTTCATACAAGTGTAACCTTATTTTATTTTATTTGTCATGTGTATATCCATGACAATGTGGACATAAATACAACTAATAACTATACAAAATGAAAATTGGCATGGGTAACACTGTGCCATCGTTTTCATTTCTTGATCGTTTTGGGTGTATGGATTGAGAGAGATAACAAAGTGCACGTGGCCTGCCTTTCTTGCCGACGTCGTCCTTCTTGTATTCCAGAATTATCTCAGTTCCCATGCATATATCTTCAGATTTCTATGGCCTTGCCTAAACTCAAAGCAACACATGTCCACCAATCATCCAGTCAGCCATATCCCAAGACAAAAAAAAAATATCATCCAGAATTCTTAATTGTCAATATATACCTTCTCAATCAAACCGGCCAATCGTATAGGATTTTTTTAATACACTTGACCTCTCGGTCCTCTAATTTGAAATCAAATTATTATATAACTAAGAGTAGAGTTTATCATGTGTACATTATCAGATAATAATTAAAGACTTTTCTCGTTATCCAAATAAAACCATTCAAGGTAGAAAGTGTTGGAAATACATTCAAACCAGAAGATTGGTTTTAGCTTTCCCATTCTTCATACGCCTAATTTGGAGGAATTTGTTCAGCATATGAAGGAGGGCATGGACACGTGTAGCTTTTTGAATATACTATCCCTAATCCTGCGCGAATACATGACTGAAATTGGAGCTTTCTGTTACCCTCTTCACTATATGAGCAACCCCTACATAGTGAATAAAAGCAGCAATTCACTACAGCGGCTTTTCTCTCATATTCTTTTATCTTACTAAGTCTGAGCAATAGTCAGGTTCGTCTACATTTAAGCTGGTGTAAGTTAAGCGTGGTTATTCTGTATTGCATGTTGAAAGCGTATCGGTTTATCTGAACTGTAGTGTCACCGGGCAAATAACGTTCCTTAGCTGACATTGCTTATATTTTTCCCGACAGAAAGTGCGCGGTATACTTCTTTTTTATTGATTTTATTTTAAAAACCATTTAAATAATACTCTTAGAATATTTTTTTAAAAAATATTTATTTAGATTCAAAAAAGTTAATAAACAAATTAAAATATAATTCTCAAACTGTATCATAAATTTGAGACTTGGAAAGAGATATTGCCCCACACTAGAAGGAAATGTGAGTATTGTAGAAAAATGAGTATAAAAGTGATGAGAAAGTATTTTGACTAGGGTTTTTTTTTTTTTGAAAATGTATTTTGACTAGGGTTAACTCTTAAATTTTTGAAATTTTTATTAAAAAAATTGATAGATTTTTATTTTTTGTTATCCTAAATTATTAAAAACTATTTTTAAAATTTGTTACATTGTTATGCATATTGTCCCACCATTAATTTTCCCCAAACAAGCCTCATTCTATATTTCTATATAAACACCATAGCCTATCTATTAACTTCCCCACAAGCCAAGCAAAACCAAATCAAAACTCCATAACTCCATGGATTTTCTCAAGAACGCCTTAGACGGTGGCCACGAGTCCGACCAAAAACCTTCCGACCACTCCGGCCATTCGAACGCCGACCTCTTCTCCAGTGCTAAGGTGGTGGCCGAAGCCGCTCAAGCCCAGTTACAGAACAAGAATTCCGAAATCGACAAACGGGAAGTGGCCGGCGCCGCAGCTAACCTCCTCGACGCCGCCCAAAAATACGGCAAGCTAGACGAGACCACGGGAGTCGGGCAGTACGTGGAGAAAGCGGAGGGCTATCTCCGGGGGTACGGCCAGCCTGCCGCCGCCGCCGCCGGTGAAGCGGTGGAGGAAAATGCTAAGCAGGGTGAAGACTCCCTGAAAAAGGAACCCTCCGGCGAGAGCCACGGTGGCGCCGGAGATTTCATGAAGGCGGCCGGAGATTTTCTGAAGAGGGATTAACAAACTTTATTATTAACATGTTATGTACTATGGTTTACATCTTCTACTTCTAATTTGCTGGTCTGTTGTAATAATTATTGATAATGTGGAGCATGTGCTTATGCATGATTATATTGCATATATGTATTCACTGTCCATGTTAATCTGCTTCATATATAATAAATATGGTTGTTTTTAAATTTTAATTTAGAATTATTTCCTTTAATACCCTAAATTTGATGATTTAAAAGGTTTGATTATGCAAAATACACCATGTGTCCATGTATAAATATCATATGCTATTTCTTTTAAAATGAGTAAATGCTATTCACCCCGCATAAGCATCCTTTCCATATTTTAAGAAGATATGTTTTTGGAGGAACCTGATCTAGTTGGTTGTGACTTGGTAAGCACAAAATTCTAAGTTCAATTCCAGTTGACTATTGGTCTTGAACAACCTAAATTGGTTTTTTTTTTTGTTTTTTTTGTTTTTTTTGTTTTTTTTTGTTTTTTTTTTTAATTCTTTGTCGGCTAGAGTAAACGCTCTTCACCACAAGGGTACATTTGAGTAGTGACTACAAGGGCACATTTGAGTAGTGACTACAAACTTATGTTAGTGTATTTAGTTGAAAAGACAATAAAGTATAAAGAGATTCATGCCAGGCTGAAAGATTTCGAAGCTTAAAGAAGCTAGGAAAGAAGTGTTTTCCTTTTTAAAAAATCTTGCATTAATTTAATTTTTGCAAATAATAGTTAAATTATAAATTGGTTGCTTGGCGAAGTCTTAGCCACAATTGTGGATACAAATATCCACTTCCACTTGTCCCTTCCTTTATAACTCCTACCCCACAATAATTCAATCACTATTTCAATAATTCAAACCACTTGTCTCTTTCAAAAAAAAAAAAAAAATTAAAAAAAAAAAAAAGAAAGAAAGCGTAGAGGAAACAATCGATTATCAATTAGACACTTTCGTCGTTTTCACTCAAAAAATAATCATATTGCTAATGAACAAGCATCCATCATACAACTATTTTCATATACATACGGATATTTTCAGCATCATATCATATACGGAGTACTTGTTAATTCATGTGTTCAATTTCACCATATTATTTTCTTTCATATCATTATTATAATATTATATAAATGCAAAGCATTATCAATAGAAATTAAACATAAATAATTTTTCACTAAAATAAGAAAACTACCACGAGTCCAGGATACACTAATAAGTTTAATTAATGTCGTATACTTGTATATTTGTATAAGATTCTTTCACGGGACGAAATACTTCATCTAGTGGTTGGACTAGTCTGTTGGAACAAAGCTTCTTCTAATGAACCAGTCCATTAGCTTTGGGTACTTGATAGAACTTTGTCCACTTTGGAATTATAATTATATATACATAAAATGGTAATTACAAACACATAAATTATTAACCGTAAAAAAATAATATATTACAATATATTATGTGTCTGCAGATAACAATTTATGTGTATGTAGTTACCATTTTATATGTCTATAGTTAATACTTAATATGTTATGTGTTTTCAATTTATTTATAGGTGCATAAACGGTTAACTAGGCAAAAAAAAAAAAAAAAAAAAAACTCACACATAATCTGAAGATTATTTTTGGACTAGGATCTACAATGCAATGTAGACCTTGTTGGTCCATGTATAATTTATCTTTCTTTTATTTTTTATTTTTTTTTTTTTAAGTTTAGAAGACCAATTACCCTTATCACAAAAATAAAATAAAATTATACTCTGTAATATGTAATTTTAAACAATTAAAATCTTCATTAGCTAGTCGATAAAATCAAAGTTGTCAAAATTGCTACGTTGTGAGCATAGGAATTAAATATGTAATTTCATGAAAATTTAAAATGTCAATAATACCCACATTAACAATTGAGGAATGAAATTACTATTTTGTATAAATATGAGGATAAAAAATAAAATTACTATTTTCTCTAGTTATATTGGTTGAAATGATTTATGTGGTTTAATTTTGTTTAGTACGTAGTGTAAAGGTGAAATCTTATATCTTATAGGGAAAAGTGTTAAATTGGCCCCCTAAGTCGATCGAATAGTGTAATTGGGTCCCCTAACTAAAAAAAGTTCCGTTTAGATCCCTTAAACCTGCATAATTGTTCAATTAAGTCCAAAGTGACTTGTTTAGCAGGTTAAGTCTTCCATGTTTGACACGTGTATTTTTAAAAAAATATATTTTCTATTCTTTTATAAAATTTATTTTATTTATTTATTTATTAAAACATATATTATTAAAAAAACACACATACAGCCATCAGCTGTTTGCCTACCACTTTCCGACAAGGATCTCCCACCCGAAACCAACACGAAATCATTAGACGACTAACATGCCAGATTTGGGGACAACCCATGACGGTGAAAGATTGTAATGCCTTCTTGGCTTTCTTCAATTTCTTCTTTCTCCTAGAAGGTTTGAGCTTTGTAGGGTCGGAGAGGGATGGATGTGGAGTTGATGAGAGGTTACTGGAATGATGGATTTGCCGTGAAGATGGAGGAGAACGTCGTGCAGGAGGCAACCATCGCCGGTCTCAAAGCGTTGAAAATCTTATTACGTTGCTTTCTCATTCACCGGATTGTGGGGGTGGATTTTCTGCTTCGGTGTTTGAGACGCCTGCGGCGAAGCGCAAAGGCATCCGTCGAGTATCAGGGGGAGGCGGCCGCTGAAGGCCTACGTTACCAAGTAGGAGAAGTTTATTTCGTTGATGGACCGGACATGTTTTTTTTTTTTTTTTTTTTTTTTTTTTTTTTTTTTAGGAAATATGTTTCTTTTTTTTTAATTCTCCGTAATATATATTTTTAATAAATAATAAATAAATAAATTTTATTAAAAAATATAAAATATTTTAAAAAGACACATGTCAAACATTTGAATACTTAACCTGCTAAACAAGTCACTTTAGACTTAATTGAACAATATTGCGAGTTTAGGGGATCTGAATGAAACTTTTTTTAATTAGGGGACCCAATTGCACTATCCGGTCGACATAGGGAACCAATTTGACACTTTTCTCTATCTTATAAAATCTATATATGTATCTTGAATTAGAGGTGAGACTCGGACTAAATATATAACGACATATATTAAATAATAATAGATAGAAGCAGTAAGTCATGAATAATTCCAACTAACCTCTAACGATCCTTTCTGAAGATTGCTTAACGGTTTGGATAACGGATAACCCACGGGCTTGACGTGTGCGCGCCTCTTCGGCAACTGGCAAGACGCGACTACAATACTAACTGCTAAACGCGTTGACAATTCAATTCATCGTATACGAAGCTTCACTTTCACGTACGCGCCTCACTCACCCACGACTCTACACATAAATACCCATTTCCATTTGCTCCATCGTATCGCAACACTCAATAATTCCGATCCACTCAATTTTTAATTTCTTCCAAAATCTCCAGATATTCAGACATGGATTCGCGTGGGCACAATGAAGGTAGTCATGCCAAGCCGGGCCAATCGAGCCACCACAACCACCCGGCGCCGACGAAAGCCGAGCTGATGTCCAGCGCCAAGCTGCTGGGGGAAGCGGCCAAGTCAACGCTTCATCACGATCCCAACAAGCCGAACAAGGCAGACAAGGCGGAGTTAGCCGGGGCCGCCGCCGATCTTCTCAACGCGGCCTCGCATTACGGGAAGCTAGAGGAGAAGGGGATGGGTAAGTATGTCGGGAAAGCGGAGGATTATCTCCACAAGTACCACACTTCCCATTCCCAAACTGCCACCGCCACCGCCGGATCCACCCACCACTCCACCGCCGCCGCCCAACACGCTCATTCTTCTGGGCATTCCGGGGGTAATCATCACTCCGGTGGGTACGGGGAGTATATAAAGATGGCAGAAGGGATTTTCAATAAACATGAATCTTCTACCACCACCACAAGCCAATCTCATTCTGGAAATAAATATGGAGAATATGCTAAGATGGCCGGAGATTTCTTGAAGAAACATTGATTTATCCTTGTTTTTAATTCATTTATTTTTCTCTGCCATGTGTATGTTTAATTTTAATTGCTCCGCTTTAATTTGTATGTTTGTACTCTCGAACAAATAATTTTAATCACTTTCGATTTTGATTATATTTTCAATAGTGAAGAATTAAACATTTAAACCCTTCCATAAGTCACTTAAAAAAAAAAAAGTAACTTATTATTTTTTTAAACAAATTCTTTTTTAATCAAAAAGTTGGCGAAAACCCAAAAGAAGACCCCAAAAAAAAAAGCCAGCAAAAATCAATGAAAATCCCTACAACTAAAAACCTTAATTAAATATTTAATATAACTTGAATTGAATAAAAAAAAAAAAACACAAATAACAAGTAGGAGAATACTTAAATTAGATGGACATAAGATTTCTTTTGGTAGGGGAAGGGGCAAGGGTCCCGGGAACTTAATAAAATCTTCAAACAGCAACTCTATTCGCATCGTAATAATTTCCTCAGGAGGTTGCAGGAGTATACTCGTGCCCCACGGCGAGTTCTGGCCCAGGTTGACGAGAAAGTCGACACATTGATTCCCTTTCCGAAGAACATATTAGAGGTCAAGCCTATTATTGGTCAAGGATAGTCAAAGGGAAGTTAGAGGCAGTTATTTCTGTTAAGTTGGTTAGCTGCTTAAACTGTCTTTCTTCTCTTTCACTGTCTTTATTCTCTTTCTCATATAAACGATGTGTATGTCTTGTAAGCAGTGATGATGAGAATGAGATCAATAAAACATTGTTCTTCTTTCTTCCCTTAATCCATCCCTCAATTCGTGATATGGTATCAGAGCTCTGAAGATCATGGCATGGACGGGAGGAACAAACAGACCTCAAGCATCTCAGACTACTGCGTCGCCGACACCAATTCCGGCGATGAATCCGATGACTCCATTCGATCCGAATGACGTAGCAAGTCCTTTCTTCTTGCACCCTAACGAGAATCCGTCACTGGTTCTCATCTCCGCACTCTTGGATGGGCGGAATTATCATCCCTGGGCCAGGGGAATGGAGATGGCCCTGCTCTCAAAGAATAAGCTAGGGTTTGTGGACGGAACCATAGCTATGCCAGAGATCAACGATGTCAAGTTTCCTTACTGGAAAAGGTGCAATAACATGGTCTGCACTTGGATAATGCGATCGCTCTCACCCGAGATTGCTCAGACTGTCCTCTGGGCGGGAACCGCAGAAAGAGTGTGGAATACGTTGAAATCGCGGTTTGGTGAGGCAGACATATTTCAAGTCTCGGATTTGCATGCTGAGATTCACCAAATTCGACAAGGGGATCCCAACATAGGAACGTATTTTGCTAAGTTGAAAGTCTTGTGGGATGAACTGCAGGTAATTAGGCCTTTACCCACCTGCAATTGTGCTAGAATATGTGATTGTGGTCTATTAGATAAATTGCAGGCTTATCTTGACAGTGATAACCTGTCTGTCTTCTTGAGAGGACTCAATGACAATTATGTATCAGTCCAGTCACAAATTATGATGATGAAGCCCTTGCCTTCTGTTGATGAAGCCTTTCTAATAGTCCAATAGCAAGAAAGAAGGTTCAACAGTGGAATGTTGGGCTCTCTCCCTCAAATGGCAGATAATTTGAATGCAGGGAGTGTGTTCTTGAGTCAAACCTCAGGGAACAATTCTGGATTCAAGAAGTTCTATCCTAATGGAAACAAGAAACCCATTTGCACTCATTGTGGATACACAGGGCATACAGCTGAGAAGTGTTATAAAAAACACGGGTACCCTCCTGGTTGGAGGCCAAGGAACAAAAGTGTAGGGGCTGCGAATCAAGTCCAAATAATAAATCAGAATCCACCAGAAGAAACTGTTTCACTATCCCAGAGTGAATATATGATGTTCAAGCAGTTGTTGCAAAAGGAAACTGCCATCCAAAGCTCTCCTTTGGATGTAGGAATCACACCACAAGCTAACATGATCTCTGCAAACTTCATTCCCAATGCTCAATATGAAGGTACTGCTTCTTTTTCATCTAACTGTAGCAGAATTCCCTGGATCTTGGATAGTGGTGCCACTCACCACATTGTTTGTAGCCATTATATGTTGACAAAAGTCAAAGAAACTCAGGGTATGTATGTTGAGCTCCCTAATGGGAACAGGACTGCTATCACACACATAGGAACTCTTGTGGTGTCAGAAGATATTGTGTTGCAGAATGTGTTTTGTGTGCCTGCCTTTCATTATAATCTGGTATCTGTTAGTGAACTAATAAAAAAACTCCAAGTGCAAACTACTCTTATATTCTGACACATGCATCATACAGGATCAAGTCCTTGGGAGGATGATTGGAATGGCTAAATTGGAAAGGGGTTTATATCACTTGATGCAGCCTGAATTCTTTGTCTCCTGTGATACAATGCAGAATGTAGAAGTTAATAGCTGTGTTGCTAGTAGTTTGTGGCATACTAGATTAGGACATACATCTTTTTCAAAGTTAAAAATGTTACAGTTGTTGGATTCTGATTTGAAATCTAATAAAGAATTGGCTTGTGATGTATGTTATTTGGCTAAGCACAGAAGGTTGCCATTCCCAGTGAGCTCTACTATCTCTGTTGCTTGTTTTGACATGGTTCATGCTAACATTTGGGGACCATATCGTGTACACACCATTTATGGCCACAAATACTTTTTAACCATTGTAGATGACCATAGTAGACTGACTTGGGTCTTCTTAATGAGAGCTAAACATGAGGTTAGAGATCTGATTCAAAGTTTCTGTGCTCTAATCCTCACACAGTTTGGGAAAAGAATAAAGTGCATTAGAACTGATAATGGGCAGGAGTTCAAGATGGATAAGTTCTACCAAGAGAAAGGGATTATTCATCAAACCTCATGTGTCTATACTCACAACAAAACAGTGTAGTAGAGAGAAAACATGGACATATTCTGTGTGTTGCAAGGGCCTTAAGGTTTCAGGCAGGTTTATCATAGTGCTTTTGGGGAGATTGTATCTTACAAGCAGTCTATATCATCAATAGGCTACCCTCTAATGCCTTGGAAGGGAACATACCACACCAGATTTTGTTTGGAAAGCCTCCCCAATTCAGTCACCTCAAGACCTTTGGATGTCTGGCTTATGCTACCAACCTTAATGGTCACAAATCCAAATTTGCTCCAAGAGCAAGAAAGTGTTTATTTCTGGGATATCCTAATGGAACAAAAGGCTACAAGCTGTATGATTTGCAGACTAGAGAGGTGTTTGTCTCCAGAGATGTGGTGTTCCATGAAAGGATCTTCCCTTATGCCTTACATCACAAATCAGATACTCAGGTACCCTCATCACCTCTAGTTTTACCTACTAATGTTCATTTAGATGATGATCCCTTGGCACATCTGATGTCAAGAAATAATCCCACTTCACCTATTCCAACTGGATATCCTCAGCTCAGCACACCCTCAGATGATAACCCCATTACCATACTGCCAGCTCAAAATGAACCTTCAGATAATAACTCAATTGCCATACTACCAGCCCATAATGAAACCCCAAACAATAGCTCCATTGCCATACTGCCAGCCCACAATGACCCTTCACAACAACAAGTAAGAAGATCCACTAGGCATGTGATCAGACCAGCCTATCTCCTGGACTATGACTATCAACTGCCTAACAAAAGAACATCTCCTCATATCTTGTCTGCTGTCTTATCCTATGACAAATTGTCACCCAGTTTCAAAGCATTTGCCCTAAACATATTGAATATAGCAGAACCAAAATCTTACAATGAAGCCATTCTACATGACTGCTGGAAACTAGCTATGCAGGCTGAAATAGATGCCCTCCAAGCCAACAAAACCTGGGAACTAACAACCCTTCCACCCCACAAACAAGCAATAGGCTGTAGATGGGTATACAAGGTCAAGCATAAGTCAGATGGGACTGTGGAAAGGTGTAAGGCCAGGTTGGTAGCCAAAGGATATACTCAGACATGTGGACTGGACTACATTGATACTTTTAGTCCAGTAGCTAAGATTACATCCATAAGGACTCTAGTTGCTGTAGCAGCTGCAAAGGGTTGGCAACTACACCAATTGGATGTAAACAATGCATTTCTCCATGGTGATTTACATGAGGAGGTATATATGCATCTCCCTCCAGGTTTTGTTGCTCAGTATCCTGGGCAAGTTTGCAGACTAACTAAGTCCCTTTATGGCCTAAAACAGGCAAGTATGCAATGGAACTCTAGACTCACAAGTGAGTTGATCTCCCTAGGCTTTAAACAGGCTGTTTGTGATAATTCTCTATTCACAAAGGGGTCAGGTAATAGCTTTGTGGCATTATTGGTATATGTTGATGATGTCATACTGGCAAGCAGTGACAGAGATCAAATTCAACAGATAAAATATCATCTCCATTCTACCTTTTAGATCAAAGATCTAGGCAATCTAAGGTTCTTCCTTGGACTTGAAGTGGCTAGAACTCAGAAAGGGATTGCTATTAATCAAAGAAAGTATGCCCTAGACCTCCTTAAAGAAACAGGCTTTCTGAGTAGCAAACCTGTGAGAACCCCTATGATACAAACAGCAAAGTTGAGCCAAGACACTGGGACACCATTAGAAGAGAGTTCTCAGTATAGAAGGCTGATTGGGAAATTACTATATCTGACCATAACAAGGCCAGATATATGCTTTGCAGTTCAACAACTATCCCAATTCTTAGACAAGCCTACTACTGATCATCTCCAAGCAGCTCACAGAATTTTGAGATATGTTAAAAACTCTCCAGGCCAAGGCTTATTCTTTCCAGACAACTCAAATTTCAAGTTAAGGGGATTTGCAGACTCAGACTGGGCTGCCTGCATTGATACCAGAAGATCAGTAACAGGGTTTTGTATGTTCCTAGGAGAAGCTTTAATCTCCTGGAAATCCAAGAAGCAAGGGACAATATCCAGATCATCTTCAGAAGCAGAATACAGGGCCATGGCTCTGGCTACCTGTGAGATCCAGTGGTTAATCTATCTTCTTGAAACATTGGAAGTAAAAATGGAGGGGCCTGCTGTGTTATATTCTGATAGTAAATCAGCAATAGCAATTGCTGAGAACCCAGTGTTTCACGAACGAACAAAGCATATAGAGATTGATTGTCATCTTATAAGGGAGAAAATACAACAGGGCATCATCAGACTTTTGCATATTTCCACTGACAACCAGACTGCTAACATCCTAACCAAGCCATTGCAGCCTCTTTCATTTCAAAGGCTTGTTTCCAAGCTGGGACTTCATTCCATGTACACCCCAGCTTGCGGGGGGGGGGGGGGGGGGGGGTATTAGAGGTCAAGCCTATTATTGGTCAAGGATAGTCAAAAGGAAGTTAGAGGCAGTTATTTCTGTTAAGTTGGTTAGCTGCTTAAACTGTCTTTCTTCTCTTTCACTGTCTTTCTTCTCGTTCTCATATAAACGATGTGTATGTCTTGTAAGCAGTGATGATGAGAATGAGATCAATAGAACAGTGTTCTTCTTTCTTCCCTTAATCCATCCCTTAATTCGTGATAGAACATGTTTGAGCTCGAAGACAGGGAAGTCATGCATGGGGTCTTGCTTGCAGTACATAAAAAGCGTATCCGCCTCCGGCAAGGTCCTAAATTCTTAGTGAGCACTTGCATTACAGCCATAGAATCATTTTCCGCCTCAATCTTGTCGTAACCGTGTTGCTTAGCTAGCTAAAGACCTTCCCAAAGACCCCAAAGTTCAACAACGAAGCTAGTGGCAAAACCAATTTTTGTAGTAAATCCAGCCACCTATGTATCTGCATGATCTCGTAAGAGACCACCTGCACTAGCAAGGCCGGAGGAAGCTTTTTTCGCCCCATCTGAGCTGATTTTCATGACTCCAGGAGGCGACGGAGACCATTGAACCCAGATCTGCTTAGCCACCACGAGTCTGTTGTGCTTCGTGAGGACTTGGACATAAGATTATACAAATCCATTTCATTATGTCACCTTGTTTGTATTCCGACCCATAATGTAATGAATCTGTATGTATTAAATGCAACAAAGTAAATATTTTAGTAGTGATTAGTTGGGATCCATATGTTAGTTTAATTTGTTGAGGACTTAAGGCAAGTGGTTGATTTTTTAATATATAAAGTTGACTATATCTGAAGATTGCAATTGGAAAAATGGTTGAGCAATAAGGCCATCTACATACATGCAAGGTCGGTCTACGTGACACGACAAATTTGCAAATTTTGCAACTGCCTTGTCAGATTTGCAAAGAGGAGAGAGGCATTTATATTATTATTGTTATTTTGTTAATAAAAGAAATAATTTTTTTATGTGTGGATGATGTGATAGTAGATCATTTTTGAAAGATGGGAGAAAATTGCATGGATGGAGAGTGAATAGTAAATATTTGTTAATTTAGTGATATGACATTTTAAAAGTGATAATAAATTTTAGTTAATAATATTACATTATTGAAAAAATTAAATTCTAAATAATTTAAATAAAATTCATTAACCGATCAATAAATAAAATAATAATGTTCATTACAATTTATTATAACAATATTAATGTTCTCATAACCTAAAGCATGTTTGATTGTCATCCTTATAAAAATTATTAAGATAACACTTAGATAGGTACTTGAACTATTACAAAAAGCAATAGTTAACATTTGAGTTCCAACAAGCTTAAATTGTGCAATAGAACTTGAGAAAGGTATAACTAGAACTTTTAGCATATTGTTAAAAAAAATGGGTAATCTTTTCGTCTCTATTTCTTCTTCCCTTCTGGCACGAAACATATATGTTATACTCACAGAAAATATGTATCAATACAATCAATAATAGTTGCGATTTATGGAGAATAACTGTTCGCGCTATTTATAGAGAACATAACTGGGTTGCAGACTCTCTTGCAACAGCTGGAGTCTTTCAGCATGCAAACTGGGAGATTTACAAGTCCTGCCCCATCATGTGCACAGAGGCTTTTGCCAAAGACCAAGCTCGAGTTACTACTTTTCGTAGAGTCAGGGAGATAAATTAGTTTCCTTCCATATCTCCCTCGGGCCCGTCCCCTTTGATAAAAAAAAAAAAAAAAACAATAGTTGCGATTTTTCAAAATCAGTCAATCCAGGATAAAAGGACTGAATGCATTTTATAAAGAATAAATCTGAACACTAAAAGATGCAATGTTTTTTCCCATACTGACATTCAAAAAATTCTCATAAATAAATTGAATCCATGGCATCATAATCACTTAATTTCTTAATTTCTAAGAATACAATTATCCATCATTTAGAAAGAAAGATTATGAGAATATGAGGGGATTTCATATCAGGGAGAAATCCCAAGATTAGTTGACTTTGAGGCCGTCAGCACGACCTGCAAATCCCAATCGTTTTTCATGGTGGAATGATAAACTGACACCTTAAATAAGTCTTGCAAGTGGTTGTGCCTATCAACCATATGCTACCATGGTCGGCGCTGGCATTGTCACTATTTCCAAAAGTGGCCAACAACTTCCCTATCTCCGCCACAGCGGTGTGGCTGGCATTGGAAACCACCAGTTGCGGCTGCTAAATCCCACCACTCACATGTTGTTCCACCAACCATTTCAAATTCCCCAAATCAAGAATCACGCCTATACCATTCCCTATGCTACTCCATATTAGGCCGCCAAGTTCCTTAATCTTCATGAGAATCTCATTCCTGTTGGATAATATATCTTTATCGATTGGATTCAATTCAACATTCTTGAGAGGGCCTTCACCGGCAGCACCCAGTTCTCCTTTCTTGATCCTCCGAAATAGTTCCTTCACCACCGCCTCCAGCTTTCCTTCGCCCACCAAATTATTGTGCGTAAATGGCAGAAGGGGAAAGAAAGGAGGGAAGAAATTGGGGGAAAATATTAAGTGGCGCGTGTAATTCGAAAATTATCCCTGCCTTAAATGGATTCTAACGTGAAAAATATCGAAAGGACTAAATTGCCTAAAGTTAGAAAGATTGAGGGATCAAATATGTTCAAATTGGAAACCATGGACTACATTGCATATACGTTAATAATTGAAGGACCAAAAGTGCGATTTCTCAAAAAAAAAAAAAAAAAACCATTTCACTTTTATTTCGAATTGAAAAAAAATGTTCAAATTGACAATAAACTATTCCCAAAGTTATAATTAGGCTACTGAACTTCAAAATTTGTAATTAACTCCCTTAATAACTTAAAATCGTACAATTGGTCCAAATAACCAGCTTCCCAAGTTACCAACTGGTCATTTTGTTATTATAGCTAACTATGTATCATCTTTTATCATTTAAATTTATATTCACTCAAATTATTATACATCACAGCATTTCTTCATGCAAAAATCATAAAATTAATTAGGCTGTCGTCAATCAAATCTCATTTCATATCAAGATGAAGTCATCGTCTCATATAGAGAAAGTCTTCATCTTGATATGAGATGAAGCAGGAATCTTTGTCTATGAGATAAGAGACGAATCCTTTATTTTTTTTATACAGTTTCTTCTATGAATTTATTTATTTCATATAAAGGTATATGATGTGGTAATGAACGCTTAAGGAGGTTTGTCATTATGGAGTTGTCTGTGCTTGTGCAAAGGAGTTGGTACGAAAGAAAGAGGAGAAAATATTCTTTTAAGAAATAAATTATATTTAATTAGAATCCCACATCATTTATAAAGTTATCACTTAACGGGACGTTTGGTTGGAGGAAGAGAATTACGTAGGAAAAGAATTGTAATTTCCTGAGAGATGAATTACTGTAAATAAAGTAAAAATTTAAATTCCAATGATTGATTTACAAGAATATAATTACTAAGAATTTCAATTCCAATGTTTGGTATTAATGAGAATTGTAAGGGAATAAGTAGTATAAAGTCCAAAATGTTTATTGTTGTTGTGGGCATCAATTTTAAGTTTTTTTTTTTTTTTTTTTAAAGGATAATTTTATCTCATGATTATTATTTTTCTTTCTAAATTCATGGAATCATTAAAATCACGGGGGGGACATGTGATTTTAATTCCATGAAAATTAGAGAATTGCAATTCATTCCGATTAAACTAAGAAATTTAATGACTTTTAGAATTAGATAGGAATTAAGTAGGAATGAAATTTGAATTTTCTCCAACCAAATGACCATGTAAGGTGTTATGTCATTTAAATATTGTCACATCAATGAAATACAGAATGGGGATTGGATAATTGGTCCCCTGACACACTTTTAACTTGTTGAGGTGTCAATTGTCATTTCTAATCCAATTTTTGTGAATAATTCAGTGATTATTTTAAACATTTGTTTTCTTTCAAATTTAGATTTGTATTAAGAAATTTGTCAAATAAAGAATTTAATTATTATTTCCATAATAATAATTCGAGATCATTTTCCAAAAATAGCGTGATTATTTTCCAAAAATAGCGTGATTATTTTCCATATCTAAATCTAATGGTCTTATTATGTATAAATAAATAAATGGCAATTAGAGTTCCAGTTGAAGTGTTGAGATGTACGGCGTTTTGTCTCGAGATCAATCTCTCCATCATTGTTGGTGATAGAGGGAGAGAGAAACTCCGTGTGCCTTTCTCTTCTCGTCTGAGTTCTCTTCTCGATTCTTCTAAGAATGAATTCATGAAAGTAAGGCCTTCTATGAATGTATAATTGTATATGCATACACGATTATTTCTGATTTTTTTTCCCAATATTTTTATTTTCATATTTATTCGAAATTGGCCTTTAGATTTGAGCTCTTTTCATGCTGATATTTCAATTATCCTTGCATGCATGTCGCATCTGTCTTTGATGCATCGGGAATCGGGAAAATAATAGTTGATCGATCGATTCCTGGTTATTAGCCCGTAATTATTTGAAACATAGGTTTGATTTGTATCAGGGGATCTTTGTCATTTATATTTTGTTGACTGTATCTTTTTTTATTTATTTATTTCTATTAGCTTTAATTCAGAAAATATGGCTTATAATGAATGAAAGGGACTGATCTTGGAGTGCTGTAGAGGTGCTTCATTGACGTATGGTAACGTGCATTTCTTTAGTTCAAAATTAGTAGAGGCTGGAAAGGAGAAACCAAAAAGGAAAAATTAGAAGAATATAAGAGAATAGCAAGATGTTACTGGAATGGGTTTGAAACTGATTCATTGTTAAAGAACATGCTTATATGCTTTCTGCTGCCTCCTTGGATTTCATTCTTAAGATGCTACTTATTGAGGGTAACTGTAACGTGAAGGGATTTGTTTTAGTTTTACCTGAAATTTTAGGTAATTCATAGACCATTGCTTAAATTGTTTTCACATGATTTAATTAGCACTTTAGCAGTGGGCATATCAGAGTTGTTTGTTTACTTCCAATAAGAAGACATATTAGATATGTTTCTATCTTATTCCTTACTAATATAGCAGGTTTGATAGGGAAGACCAGTGTGAAAAGAACAAAGCCATTTGTCATTTTGAGGCTCAGGCCAGTGATCAGGAACTTCCCTTAAAATGAATTGCAAAAAGTAATTTGTGTTGATGATAGTGTCCAATTTGCAAACACTGTCTTTCACATCGAATAGTGATTTGATTGCCCTTCGCCATTATGTGGAGGTCCATTTCGAATGCTGTCTCAAGCTTTGGACAGAAGAAGGATTCTGTTACACCGAGTCAAGTTTGCCATGAAATCTCAGATGATGATGAGACATGCTCTAATGACAGCTCGGGTGAAGGACTGGAATGCCCAATATGCTGGGAATCTTTTAATATCGTTGAGAATGTGCCTTATGTCTTATGGTGTGGACACACAATATGCAAAAATTGCATGTTGGGACTTAAGTGGACTGTTTTGAAGTTCTCTATGCATCAGATCCAGATTCCGTCGTTCATTTCATGCCCTTGGTGCAATTTGTTGACACTTCGACTAGTCTACAAGGGGCATGTAAAATTCCCTAGCAAGAACTTCTTCCTTCTTTGGATGGTGGAGAGCAGAAATGGTGATAGGGCCAAGTCTCCTTCCTCTACATGCAGGGATCACCAACAGTTGTTGTCCCCAAGGGGGGGTGTTTCAGTTATTGGGAATACCACCACGATCAACCGCAGGCCGCATCGCCTTGGACATTTAAGGTCAAACAGTGGTGCTCATAGCCATATCAGTAATACCAATACTAACCAGAGGCCACAATTTTCTCTGCACAAATCTCTGGATTTCTTCATTCACTTGACGTCCAAGTTTCCTTTGGTTGTTTTACTTCTTCTGGTTATATTTGCAATAATACCCTCCAGTGTTGCTATCATAGTGGTATACTTGGTGCTCACAATCCTCTTCGCTCTTCCATCCTTCCTAGTGCTCTACTTTTCATATCCTGCTTTGGATTGGCTGGCAAGAGAGATAGCCAGTTGAAGATTTGCTTGCAATTAGTTTGAGGATATCTTCTCCCATCTCTTGCTTGCATTGGAAACTTTAGGGTGTAATCGAGGATTTCTTTGTAATAGCTTTATTTCTCAATTTATAGTGCTGTCCAGCTTTAATATGATCTTAGTTTTATATCAAAAGTGCTGTAAAAATTAGTTATTTCTTTGAATGGAATCAATGCTTAATCTGTGATTGGAAGTTGGGGTTTATATTGCACTTTTCCTAGGCACAATAGCCATGGCAATTTCACCATTGACATTTTATTCATGTTTGTTAGCAATGACCACATATAGCACATTTTAAGTATTATTTCATTATTTCAATTCTGTAGTTGTGTTCCCTTATGGAAGTTTAATACAAGTTTTGTATTTTGTCAATCTACACACATCCATGATCTCTCTCTTCTATACAATCTAGAAATACAATACAATAAATTTTCACTTGTCCTTGTCATAAAATTTTGGAGATTATATACTGACAAGCTTTTTCAATTTTCTTATTATTGAAAGAATACTTTTCACAGGTCTGATTTACAAGCACCAACATGTTGATGGGGCATTCCCAGTATATCTGTACTTGCTTGCCTTTTCTTTCACCTTAAGCTCTTCGTTTTGCTGATTCTGCTCTGCCTGTCTTTTGGCTCCTTCCGAAATGTTTACAATCCTCTCAACCTCATTGCGGTAATGTGCCAGAGCTTTTGCCCTTCTGGTATCCAAGTCAGCCTGTAGTTTTCATTTATCATGTTCTTAGTGATCAAAATCCAAAGGTTCAACTGATCTGCTGAATTAGATTGAAAACAGAAAACCAAACCTCTACTTCCTCTAAATGGCGTTTGGCTTTTTTTGTCTTTTTAGTCTCCCATTCATCAATTGTGGAATTCAGCTTCTCATACCTGTAACATCTCTTCTCAGTGAATTGAAGGGTGAAAAATAGATAAAACATATTACTTCTCTTGTTATTTATGGTTTTTGTGGATTAATATTGAGTGCAGGCTCCTAGTTGCAATGAAAATAAACAGGTACCGTTTTCTGATCTTTTCCATCTCTTCCTGTTCCCAAACATCTGCCCTGGTACCTCCTTTTACAACCTTTCTTGGACTTGGCCCTCTTGGGGTGGATGGTTGAGATGAGGATTGTCTTGATGGAAGCTTCACCGGAGTCTCTGGCTTTCGAGTGGCTGGACGATCCAGCAGCCTCTCTCCAAATGTGGGAGTCTTTCTGAAGGATGTTGCAGCAGGTCTGTCAATCTTCCCGGCTGCTTCAATTTCAGGTTTGGAGCTGGCCACTCCATTTGTGCTATTCATGAAGGTTGGTGCCTTCTTAATGGATGAGGTTGGTGCTATTGGCTTTCCAGTATCAACTATTGTTGCTGTCCTTATTGTAACATTTTTCTCTGGTACAGGACCTTTCCTCTGATCCCTCATTGAGTCTTCCAGTGATTTAATGGCATATGCAGCCGCGGCAACTGCAACTGCATAATCAATACTACCTTCCCTGGAATCATAATCCTGACTCATTCTTCTTGACGAGAGCTGTCTATCGAACCAGCTTGGGCCTCTTTTCGTATCTGCAAAACTCAGCTTTGATTATCATTTCTGCATCTCTAGGTAAGTTACCATCATTTCAAACACTCTTTCTCAACCAGCATTTATGTCATTGAGATTCAACTTCTCGAGGGTACCTTTAAGCGATTGAGATGTTTGAGCTAGAGTTCTCCTGCTGCCATCTTTGTTATCCTCCTCTGCACCAGAAAACTTCATTCTATTGAAAGAAGTCAGTACTTATTGAAAACGCAAATATGAAAATTGTGCATAATTAATCTTGTGACCTCGGTTACCTTACCTCATTTGCTTAATAAATGATGCCATTCTTTAACACAGCCCCTTTTTTTCTGGAACAGCAATGATCAGGTGATATGTGTAATGGAGGGGGGGAGGGGTGCTTATTTGAAGGAGAAAGATAAGTTAATTAAGGGGAGATACTGTTTTAGGTTGTTAATACTTAATATAGGGTATGATTTGAGAGAGGAGACAAGTAAAGTCGGATGCCTTTGCCTGCAAGGCCTGGTTTTGGATCTTAAAAGCACCCAAGCAAAATCATTCCTTTCTTCTTCTTGATGGGTTAGTATTTTCCAACATTGGGATCTTCTTACACATTTTAGAGCTTTATTGTATGGGGGGAATATGTGTTTGTTGCTGAAGCATTTCTGTCCTTGCTCCTTTTCTGCAAAAAGAACTTTTTGGTTCTCACAAGAGAAGGAAATCCAAAAGTTTGGACTTCCTTTTTGCCTTAGGAATCACTAGAAAGCTATGCACAGCTTATATAATCAAAAGTAAATTGAAATTATATTTCCAACATGTTTAACCTCAAATTACTTTTTCTTTTCCTACTAAAGAAGAAACAAGAGAAATGGGGAAAGAAAAAGAGAGAAAAAACAAATAAACTAAGGTCTCAAAATACCAATAAGGTTAGCGTTTATAAAGTGTCTAAGCCTTTTTTTTTTTAAAAAAAAAAAAAAAAGAAAAAACTAAGCCTCCACCACTAGGGTTCGAATCTATGACCACTCATTTAGAATGGTAACTAGAGGTCATCACATTAAATGATAGTTGGCATAGGATGGCCAGAAAGGATTTGAGAAAATGGACTTTGACATGAAGGTCATTGTATTGGGTTGCAAGCAAGTATGCACTCACATTCCTCTTCATTTGGGTATGACAAATTGAAAAATCAATTTCTATGCTGGAGAACCTTTATTGCCTTAATGAGAAAGCAGTATGTATTCCTTTACGTCCTTACCAAAGTAGTTTTCTTAATTGTCACTGTGAAATTACAAGTTGAACATGAACCACAAGGCTAGATCGGTGCTCACTGTGCATAAGGAATCCCCCTCACTTTGAGAAGTTGCTCCCACACTGCCGCTGGTGAGACTCGATCCCTGGTCATTATTCCAAAGTTTCACCTCTATGACCAGTTGAGCTACCCATGCGGGCAACTCTACAAGTTTATAAAAGAGTTAAGTTATGTTTATTGATGCTAAAAATAGTTTGCGTTATGGTTATCATGTTTTTGTTTACTTATGGTCGGCGTAAACAATTGCGACTTATATCATGGATGCCGAGTTTACAAACGATAACAAAAATGTTCATCCAATTTAAAATATGCTGGGGGATTGGAAAACAACTGTAGCCTAATATAAAGGGATTATTATCAAATGAAATGTTCACAAAAATGACAAGTTTTTACAAATTACACATTATATTATTTGCAATTTGAATGAATAAAATCTTCTCATTTAATCAAATTTCAAAGGAAAAATAACTAGCTCGCTACAAATTATTATTTGACAATTTGAATTAGGGCCTTTAACACGCCCGCTAGGTGCTTAGAACGTATCCGTCACTTTACATTTTTTAAAAATTTATTTATATATAAAATTTCATATAATGTAATGATGTGGAGAAAAAAAATATACAAAGTAGTATGAATGAAAAATATTTCTCAATCATTGAGATCAGTAAAACGTGGTGTGATTACATGTACAGATGGAGAATTATTTCAAAAAGTGCAGACTGGTTTTCATCAGATCAACAGCAAAGATAACAAATACAATACTTTGACCTCTACAGGTAATAAAGAATAATAGGCACTCTCAGCTCAGATTGCTCCGATCCAGCACTTGGCCGCCGCCCGGCCACTGATTTCTGCCAAAACTTAACTGTATCCCAACTATCAGCAGCTAAACAACTAATGAATAATGTGTATATATTTTATGTTCTAAATTAAACTAGGAAGTCCGAGTCGGAAAGTTCTAGGACTTTGTGGACCCCGATGGGATTTGCACCTGCAGGCCGGAATGAGTTTCCTTGGATGTACCTGCAACCATGCACATTATTTTAGTTCAGACGACAACCGGCCGGCTGGGATCTTAAAAAATCAATCAACTTGAGACTTGAGAACCAAGACAATAATCATATCTGTCGTCTTACATTTCTTTCAAGAAAGGATGTTTGTAGAACGCATAAGGAATCCGACCAGAAAATTGGTTGTGGTCCACATAACTGTAACGTAACAATGGACACTCCAATTATAAATACATATATATATAATCACTGCTGCGCTAGGTGCACATCCAAATCTTATATGCAGTATGGAAGGAATTTAACAATTTTGTGAGATATATATGAAAGGGACACAGCTAGGTGCACATATAACTGATGTCCTATAAATTCCTTTTGAAACTATTCACAAGCTAAGGGTTTTGAAGCCAGATTATGGATTGATTAAATATATTTTTTAAAAAAATGATAGAAGGCACTTACAAATAAGTTAATTTACGAATATGGCCAAGGCTGGCTGGTATTGCACCAGTCATTCTGTTGTATGAAAGATGCCTGTAATCAAACATGACAATCATACGCCAAATACAGGAAGCTAATAGTCACCCAATACATGATTTGTGATAAACAAGAAACACTTACAAAATCTCCAACTTTGTCAAATTTGCAAGTTGAGAAGGAACGCCTCCGGTAAGATAATTGTTGTTCAAATAACTGAAAGTTTTGTGAGAGAGAAATCATGACAATCACGCAATAAATAAAATTGGAAGATATTATTACTTGTTAGGTCATTTGGAACATGAAACTTGAATCAACTTACAGGTTGCGAAGAGCAGGAAAGCACCCCTCTATATGTATGAGCTCCCTAATTGTCCCAACCAGCCGATTGTTACCAACATCCCTGAAATTAATTTCAACGATGATAGTAGGTCAATCAATAACATGGTAGAAAGCCAAAGGTTGCGTACTCTAAATTCTAAAATAAAGAAGAAAAGTTCAATGAAGTCTTACAAGTGTCGAAGATTTGGTAAAGTGCCCAACTCAGGTGGGATTCGTCCGACGAAATGATTTTCGTGGAGATGAAGATAACGGAGTTCAGGAAGATAAGCAATCTCCTTAGGGATTTCACCCTTAAAATTATTGAAACTCAGGTAACTGAAGAAGATATACCAAACATCCAGTTATTTATTGATAAAACAAAGGGAAAATTGCACTTTTCATCCCTAAGTTATAGGATAATTGTAGAATTTGTCCCTAAGTGTTGGTCGTGCTCACTTTTCGCCCCTAAGCTATCATTGGCATTGCACTTTTCGTCCCTAAGCTATACTAAAGTTGCAAATTTCGTCCCTAATGTTTTGTTAGTAAAGGGACGAAAAGTGCAACGCCAATGATAACTTAGGGACAAAAAGTGAGCATGATCAACAATTATGGATGAATTCTACAATTATCATATAACTTAGGGACGAAAGTGCAATTTTTCTAGAAAGAAATATAGGATAGCTTCAGATAAAATAGAGGAAATAACTTACAGATGTGTTAACTGCTTTAGTTCCCCTATTTCAGGAGGAATGACATCTTGCAACTTATTCCACCTTATATTACTGAGAGATACACAAAAACAAAGGGGAAAATGAAAAGAGAAATAAATCAGTATCTAGTGCAAAATTGAAAATCTGGAAGAAATGAAACAATCAGCAAATCAACATAACTTAGTTCTCAGACTTCAGAAAAAGTAAATGAGAAAAGAAGTTAATTTTGAAGTAGCATTATACCAAATCAATGGTATTAACTATTAAGGCTTAGTTGAGTTCAGGTAGGTTATGGTCCTTCTTTAAATGCCCCCAATAACAACAATAATAACGCATTTAAGAAAAAATCTTCCCTAATCTAGCAAAATAAAGCAAACAAATGCTCATATCAACTACATTAGCATAACCATTATTTATCGATGATTATAGCAGATGTAACAAAACTGAACTAAGCAGGACAATTTTGTTGATGTCATGTGTACTAACATGACTGAGGTTAACCAGTTTTAAGCCATTTCTATAATAAATATTGATTTTCATCTGCAGTCAACTTTGTTTTTCATTTTTGATAACCATGTTTTGCATTCTACTTGAGAGGATGTGAAGCATAGATGCACGTCAATATACTCTAAAGAGAGGTGTTAAGAATCTACAGGTAGAAGTCTTACAGTATTTTAAGACGCTTCAAGCGCCCAATTTGAGGTGGTATTGGACCAGTCAGCTTGTTATTATGTATATCCCTGCCATATCAAAGACAATACAGATTAGAAACTGGAGAGAATTCAAGCATCCTTTCTAAAATTAAATGAGAATAGGTAAAAGACAAAAAATAGTTATTTTGTGAGATAAGTGAGGTAAAATAACCAATCAATCCATAGTTCAGAGTGCAATAGATTTTAACTAAAAAGAGGAAGAAAGAATCTTACAGTCTAGTAAGATCCAACAAGTTTGTTACAGCATTTGGAAAAGGACCAACAATTGAAACTGCATAGACTTCCCTGCAAGTGGTCAAACAAGGAGATTAGAAGCAACATAAAGCTTAGAAAAAGGGAAGGAGTGATGTTGCAAGTGGTGAAGGACTACTTACAATTCAGTAACTACTCGGTAATCACCTTGAGTGGAGCATGTAACCCCAGCCCATGGGGGTAAGTCATTGTCTCCACAAGGATCATCTCCAACCCAAGCATACACCACCCTCCATCCAAGAGATGCCTTAATCTCTTTCAGAGCTTTCACTACACTCGCCAATCAAATTCAATTAGCATGTCATGGCAAATGATTGACTGTTTCTCTTCGATGAACATTTTCCAAACACACACTGGCCAGGGAGACAACAGTCTCACACAGAAACTCCATAGGTTACCAAAGAGTACATATTCATTATAATTCAGAAATATCAACTTTTTAACCTTTTTTTCTTTGGATGAAAAGATTAAAATTTTATACCAACTACAAAAAAGAAGCATTCATGGAAATTATAATAAGGAAAGATTATATAAAAAGACTAGTTAGTAATTCCTATAATGGATTATTCAATTTCTCAGTTCAAAATTCAAATTACCAATTGTTGAATTCTTATTAAATGCAGTATATTTGTTAAATAGCATCAATAATCATTTGCCTCTTATAATTTTGAGCTATAATATCCATAATTAACCTAATTTAACAGGAAATAATTATCGTGATCCTACAGTAGTAGTCGTTAATAGCACCAGTTATTGGTAGATCACAAATGTATGAAAGTAAAATTAGTAACCAAAGCATCTAGATACTAAGTTTAAATTGCTGGCTAAAGAAATAAATATAAGAATCTAAACTTCAATATTGAGCAAACCCTCACTGAAATGCAACTGATTTTCTCAGAATATAGGTGAAAATAGAGAATACTGCAAGATACAGAGTTTAGAAGTAGATGATGGCGATGGAGAGTGAGAAATTAGTCAAATTACCATCGCGCTTGAGAGTTTTACAGTGAACCACGACGCTGAGGAGAGAAGCGAGGAAGAAGAAGATGAGGAGCAATGTCGAACAGCGACTGGCCATTGAAGCGTCAACTATCAACTTCCGCTGAGCCAACGCGTCCGTACTCCCGAGCTAACTCAGTATCCGTACATTTTCACTCAGGACGGCAGAGAATTTGAGAGTCCCAAGGAAGACAGGAGAGATCTCGCTGTGTACTACGATAGATGAATCCATCTTAAACTTGGGATCTTCAATTCTGCGCAAATTGCCCGCTGGACTCGGTAGTTTACACACCTTTTTTTATTCATTTTTTTTTCTTTTCATTTATTTAATTTTTTTTTGAAAGATAGTATAGGTTGTCAAAAAGAATCCATGCATTATTGTAACGAGATTTGATTATGTGACCACACATTTAGTATAATTAATCACATCGCCATATGACGCGTTGCATCTAAATTTGATCTGTTACTGAATTATCTAAATTTGTGCCAATAGAATATAATATATGTATCGTCTTATTACTTTTGTTGTCATGTGTGGAGCATTTTAATTTTTATAATCAGTATTCCTTGTTTCAGTAATTTTCTTTCCATAAACCAAACAGTGGATCGAAGTCAATCTTTATGGTAATTTCTTTTTCATTAAATTTCAATTCTATTTTCCTTTAAATATAAAATAATGTTTTATAATATTTTGTATTTGATTAATTTGTAATATCAATTCATATTAAATGTCCATCAACACATGACTATATTAATGGAGACTTGTGAGCAAATAAAATGCATGCATGCATGTCTTACTAATCCATTCAATTCACACCACCCCAACTGAACACCACCAGATTTAATGAAACTCATGGACTTCTCCTCATATCTCCAACTCCAAATCCAAACTTTTATAAAAAATAATAATAATAATAATAAAACAAAAACAAAAAATTAGCAGAGTATTTCCATGGTTGTTTCTGCTGCTCCCATTGTGTCTGTCTGGGTGTCTCTTATCTGCCACCAAAAACAACCATGGAAATAGAATGTCTCTCACAAAAACATGAGATACTAGAAAGTACCATAAACTAACAAAAATAACACTCTCTGAAGACCAATTTATTAATTTTTTCTATGGCATATACATAAGAAGCTGAACAAAATGCCACCCTAAAATCCTAAAATCTAGAAGAAAAGAAAAGTTGATGATCAAAAGCTGCCGCTATGTATGAACTCCGCTTCTCGGATTTTCAGTTGTGAAGAGGGTTAGGACCAGAAGGGACCAGTCTTTTCTCGATCCCATATCTCGGATCAATCTCCTCCGGCGAGGAAGCAGACGGCGGCGGCGGCGGCTGCAGGAGCGGCGAGCATAGACGGATCCGTTTAAGCTGATAACAGATAGCCCCAGGGGCGGCGGTGGTGGTCTGGAAATTGTTGTCAGAACCATGGAGATTCTGGGCTTGAATCTGGGTTGAGGATGGTGAAGTGAATACAAGTACGAGAAAGAAAAACGAAGCAAGAAACTGGTATTCATGCACCATTTCTTGAAACTCTTGCAATGGAGGCTTTCACGGTGGGTTAAAACAGAGAGAAGAAGAAGGAGGGGAAAATGGCGATGATGGAGGGTTCCAACGATGAATGCCTCTATTTATACATGCATACGAGGGCAGATTCGGAATTAAAAAGAGTCAACGCATTAAATATTCAATAAAAAAAATATAATTCAAAATATCATTTTAGCGTGCAATCTCTGGGCATATTTAGATTTTTTTTAAAAAAAATTTAATATTAAGTATTACTATTGGGCATATATTATTGGGCATCACGCATATAAAATACTAATTAATTAAATAAATTGTGAGGTAAATTTTTTATTTTAGATCAATTATAAGTTTTACGTTCTAAAAACATTGTCTCCCTTGACTAGACACTCGAATTTAAAAGAATGTATTTAATACATAGATGGATATATTTTTAATTTGATCATAATAAATATATTGTAAAATTTTTAATATTTCTTGCTCATAATAAATTTAGTATGTTTCAAAGGGTGTTTTAGATAGCAAATTATTATATGACCATGAATATTAGGTACATTTTTAATATATTAAAAATACATTATTTTTGTATTAAATTAAAGGTACATTATTTTTGTATTGAAGGTACATTGTATAAAATAATGTACCCTTAATATATTAAAAACGTACTTTCAAAAAATATACCTTACGCACATAAATAATGTACCCTTAGTATATTAAAAATGTATTTTTTTTATTTATGGTCCACACAATTGTGTGGACCATAGTCCATGCAATAATGATTGTTTTAGATAATGGAGCTACAAATATTGTTGTTGGTGTGACCGGTCCTCTTTGTTGTTGATGGATCAAGAGTTGTACACGTGGACGATGCACTTGTAGGGGGTGCTACTATAAATAGGAGAGTCTTGCCTCTTCCTAGGGTATCACTGTCTGAGCTGCACAACTTCCCTACCATCCTGATTTAGTGGTCTATGACCTTAACCTTTAACCCGTCCATCAGGGTTCAATTCCTAGCAATAGCATTATTATTTCTATTCCCTATTTGAGGCTATAACTTCAATTATTTACTTAGTATTTTGGGCCAGTACCTCAGACTTGTAAGTACTCTTTTGGGTCTATCGCTCCGAGTCATAATTTCCTACCCCCGTTCTATATATATCTGTATACTCAATTTATACATTTATGGTGAATCCGGTCCCAATAAAACCATCAATTGTATTTGTGGAGATGAACAATAATTTGAAACATCGTAATATAGCACATTTTTTTTATACATAGAAAGTAATCAAGTATTATTAAGAGAATTACTCTTTAACAAAATTGAGGGTATTTATTGTACAATTACACATAATTAATGAACATTGAGATATGATTTTATGTCCTCAAAATACCAATAATTTTTTTTTTTTTTTTTTGGGGGATATCATTGAGTATTTGCTGAGATAGCCAAACTAACTATCGTATCAATACGGATGGGGATTGCATGGGCCATAAGTACCACACATACATACATGTATGTATTTATGTATGAATGTATGAGTGTAAATGTGGTGATGATCTTGTAATATAGTTTGAATGGCCAACTACTTATTTGAGACCATTGTATGACTTATTAAATGCACCGAAGTATGAGACTCTCAATTTCTTATGTTTAGTTCATATAAACTTTAAAGAGTTTCTCAATTCTTTTCATTTAATTCGGAGTAATATAATATTATATAAAGTTAAATAGGTTGACTTAAGTTTTAAATTTAAAATCGTTACAATACTTTAACGTTCTCGGCTCTCTCTAATACACATAAATATCGAATTGGAGTTAAAATTTTTGTCTTAACCGTTGACTTCACTGACCCATATTAATTAAGTGCCCCGTATTAAGGACTTAATGTTCTGTTACACACTTAATATTGAATTTGGAGTTGAATTTTTATCTTGGCCGGTGATTTCACTAATCCATATCAAGAACTTAATAAAGGTCTGCTATTTGAATTATTAAAAACTCTTCAAAATCAATTGAATTTCTTATACATGACATGTATAGTTTATATAAACTTTAAAAAAAAAAAAAAAAGTTCAACTCTCTCAATTTAATCCAGATATTTAAATAATATGACCTAAAATTAAATAATTTGACGTAAATTTAAATATAGCCGGATTCTTTACAAGCACTTTAATGTTATGCAACACACTTAAAATATATTGGAGTTGAATTTTTATATCTTGACCTATAATTTTATTGTCTTATATTAAAGACTTAATTAAGGTTCTCTATTTGAATCATTAAAAACACTTCAACAATTGTCAGGTCTATATATATAACTACACATACATATATGTGGAAAAATTAGCTTGATTTGTTATTCAAACTATTTAAAGTTTGAGGTCGAATATTGAGTGATAATTAAATTGATTTCAAACATTCATTGAATCAAATCCGAGTAATTCCATGGTATCTGGGTTGGACTTCCATGTGGAAGGTTGTGAGTTCGAGCCTCAGTGGAGGCGTTATTAGCTCTTTGTGTTTCAGTAGGTTGAGAAAGTATATGAACAGATACTACAATGTAATAGAGCTAGTAGCATTCAAAAAAAACAATCCGAGTAATTCTTGAGTAGTATAACTTGCTTACAATCTAATTACCAATCATACAACTTGTTTACATTCCCTTGAGGTAATACAACTTCACATAAACACAAGTCTACACGAGACAACAAAATCATTAAACATTTTTTCAAAATGAAAATTCATGAAGCCGTAGCAAGAAAATTAGCTTCTTTTTTTTTTTTTTTTTTTTTTTTTTTTAAATAACTAGACTATCTATTCAGGACGTTTGGTTGGAGTGAATTTAAATTTCATTCCCAATTAATTTCCACTTAATTCCCATCTAATTTCAAGCGCCACTAAATTCCTTAGTTTGGTTGGAAGGAATCGCAATTCCTTCATTTTCCTGAAAATAAAATCTCATGCCCCCCTTGAAATTTTAATTCCATGAATTTTAGAAAGAAAAAAGATAATGATGAAACAAAATTACACATCACTTTTTAAACATAAAATTGATGCATGACAACAACAATGGACATTTTGGACTTTATACTATTTATTTCATTTCAATTGTTATGTATATCAAACATTGAAATTGAAATTCCCAATAATTTTATTCATGTAAATCAAACACTGAATTTAAATTCTCACTTAGCTTTATTCTCAGTAATTCATATCCCACGGAATTGAAATTCCTTTCCCACGTAATTTTCTCCCTCCAACCAAACGGCTCGTTATAATCTAAAAAATCTAAAAAATTCTATTTGGAGGGTGGAGGGTGGAGGGTGGAGGGTGGAGGGTGGAGGGCGGGGGGTGGGGGGGGTGTATTCAATCATGACTTTCATAGAGTTTTAAAAATTTTTATGAACTTTAAAAGTTTTGCGGTATTCAATTTAAACTTTTAGGGAGTCTTTAAAAGTCATGTGTTATTCAATCAAAATTTTTAAAGAGTCTTTAAAAGTCGGGTGGTATTCGATTAAGACTTTTAACGAGTCTTTAAAAGTCATGTGGTATTCAAAAAGTTTTGAACTTTTGCATAATTTTTAATTTTAGGACTTTTGTAGACTTTTTCTTCTCAACTATAAATAGTTGAAATACAACCATCAATCCCAAGATTTCAAAATTTTAGTTATACCAACTCTGAATGTTTTCTCTCTATTTAAACACTATTTTTTTTCTCCATATTTAAACTTTATAAACCTATCTAAGTTTTTAAAAAATTATTTTTTTCTTCATTATCCTATATTTTCTTCATACCTAAACTCTACCAATTTTTCCTCTCTCCTAAACTTTACAATATTCCTCTAAAAATTTAAAATAATATTATTTTTACTTTATTATTATTTGTTTATTTTTTTATTTTATTCTTTATATATATATATATATATATATATATATATATATATATATATATATATATATATATATATATATATATATATATATATATATATATATATATATATATATATATATATATTAATAACACGTTACTACTAATAGAAAACTATTGTTCGCAACAACAATTTGAGACTGCAAACGGTGACACCTTGTTGTTGTTGTTTACAGTCTCAAATTGCTATTATCGCAAATAATAGTTCTTTGCTTGATTCCTAACAATATATCAAGTATAATTTATATATATATATATATATATATATATATATATATTAATTATTTTTTTTATTCTATGCAACTTGTAATTATATTTTTTAAATATTTTATTTGATCAATTCTTTTACTATAAATTTTAATGTTCAATATTGTTATGAATTTCTAAAGAAATAGTTTTTTTTATTGATTCTTATTAATAATATAAAAGTAATAAGCATATAAATCTCATCATACTATGGATAAAAATAATAATATTGAGAATATTGATGTGGGCGAAGAACTATATAATAACAAAAATTTTATGATATATTATAACATGTTTTGTAAGAAAAATATAAATGATAAGAATCGAAATAATTGAAAATTTGTAAGGATGTATAAAATTTAGAATTTCAATAACTTTTGCAGATTTTTTAAAATAAAAAGTTGATAAAAATTTATGAATGTTTTTTATATAGACTTGAGTCTTATAAAGTTTTAAAAAGTTATGAACAATTCTATGAAAATCCATTATTTTAAAAGTTTTAAAAGTCTACAAAAGTTAATACACCCCCAAAATATAACATTATCCTTATATCAAGAAAATACATATTTGATTTTTTTGCTTGCAATTGGCCAAAAAAAAAAGTCACTAATCAGTTGTTTTTGTAAGAGTTAATTACCAAAATGGTCCCTTGACTGTAGCGGAATTACCAATTTGGTCATTGACTATTTTTTTTTAACCAATTAAGTCCCTCAATTTTAAATATTTTAACCAATTTGGTCATCCGTTAGTTTGACCGTTAGTCAACCGTTAACTTGGGACCAAATTGGTAATTTCGCTATAGTCAAGGGACCATTTTGGTAATTAACTTTAAGGATGAGCAATTCGATTTAGTTTTCTCGAATCGAATCGTACCGAACCAAACTAGTTTGGTTTGGTAATATATCGAACAATCGAACGGTATTGGATTCTTGTATACCGAACAATTCGATAAAAAACTGATCTGAACTGATCCGAATTGTTCAGTAAAAAATTGAACTGAACTGAATACCGTTTGATTTTTTTAAAAACAATATAATAATAATAATAATAATAATAATAATAATAATAATAATAGTTCTATATGATGTGTTATGGTGTTTACATAGTCCATATTCAAAGTCTAATATATCACAAAATAGCAATCCAAAGTTCAAACGGTATTCGATTCGGTTCGATTTTTACCGAACAATTCAATTCGATTCGAGTTTTTACCGAACAATTTGGTATACAAGAATCTATTGTTGGTGATAATGAACCACAATCGATTTAATATCCATAAAATAATATTTATATATATACACACGAAATATATATAAAATATTATTGGATATATGTATCCGAAATATATATATATACACACAAATATATATAAGACGGACCCAACGGCTATATATAAATGTATATCTACGAAAAAGATATACCAATATATATCAACCAAAAAGAAAATATAATCCTTAGATTATAATTCCAAATTAACAAGAAAGAACGGATTTTTGCTTAAAAGCATAATCCAAAACAAGAAAGAAGAAGAAAGAATTGTACGAGTTAGGCAAGGTGCATTTCTTTCCTTAAAACCTTATTTGCCACCTCCCAAAAGTGCTAGGAGCGTTGTGGCCTAGATCTCCCAGGATAAAACGTACAACGGTTCGACGTTTGAGCACCCAAACGAACAAACCCGACGAACAAGAGCACGGGCAAAACACAGCTTCAAGAATGGAGTAGAAGCAAAAGTATTTTGAGGCTGAAAAATTATTTTTCCTTGTGTTGTTAAAAAAATGCTACTACTCAACTCATTCTTATATAGGGATTGAGGAGTGAATAGCCTTTATTATGGCATTTAGGGGCACTCCTACAACTCCTGTAACGGCAACCATTAACATGAGTGTTAATTCAAAAATTAAAATTTAAATTAATTCAAAGAATTAATCCCATAACAACTGAATTAAATCCCAACAGTCACAAACAAAAGTTTCAGGCCGAACTTTCAACCTAAGTAGTAGTTTCGGCCATTAGGCCGAAATCACTACATTCGGCCAGGGTGCTACACGAAACATTATACAATATTAATATGGTCTCACTTCGTGGTGGTGAAACCATTTCATTAATACTGTTATTCATTTCGTGGTGAGGTGAAGCCATTTCACCAACTTCTTTCGGCCAAGGTGGCATGAAACCATTTCACCAACTTTCGGCCTGGCACATGAAACATCATTAAATTATAGTTTCATTTCGTGGCTACATTGGAAGATGACACCGAAATTTGGTATAACTTAGTCCATAAAGGACTGTCAATTTTCAGTCTCATTCTGGAATTTGATTTGCACCCCTGCACGCGAGAGAAAGCACCTATACTATACAATTCAATAAGCTTAAAAAGAGTTCATGTATAAATAATGGGGCAAATCCTCTTCCCAAATCAATGTGGGATAAAAGCTCACTTTTTCCCTTCATTTTCCAACTCAAATGGGTCTACTTTGAGAATCAATATCTCATTCACCTATTATCCGTTTTGAGCGTACAATATATCAATCTCTTCGTCTTACCACGAAGAACCCGAATCCACTTTGACCCGACCCAAATCAGAAGTGGACCCCACTGATAATTGTACCACAAAATAGCCACTTAATATGTCATTTTATGCCATTTTAAGCTATTTTTTCCAACATCTATTACCATTCAATTTTCGATATATTACCGAATCTAACTAGTTTGGTACGGTACGGTTCGAGAAAACTGAACCGAATCGCCGACCCTTAAAGTTAATTACCAAAATGGTCCCTTGACTATAGCGAATTACCAATTTGGTCCTAAATTAACGGTTGATTAACCGTCAAACAAACGAAAAACCAAATTAATTATGATTTTTAAAGTTAAAAAACTTAATTAGTCAAAAAAAAAATAGTCAAGGATGAAATTGATAAGGGTCCATTTCGATAATTACCTCCTTTTGTAATTGCAAACGTAAAATTTAGATTACTTTTATTTTCAATTCTACCAGGAATTAATTAATCAAATCAATCAATGTCTGATTCTCTTTACTTTTCAGAAAAAAATGTCTGATTCTTGGCTTATAGACATATATACTATATAGTCGTCGGTGGACGAGTCTATTTCATTTCATGAAGAATATAATTCTGTATGGCTCTGGCTGTATCACCATTCACCACCACATCTATACTGGATCAGAGCTCCCTACATTTCTAATTACCCAATTCAAGAAAAGTTATGATAATATGACCCCTCTAATCTTCTTCTCTCTTTTATTTGTAAATCTTTTCTCCTTCTTCGCCTCCACATCTTTTGGAGAGGTTTCTATCTCCGTCACCCCAAAGACTGTACCAAAATCCGGCGACTCAATTACGATCCGATGGTCCGCCATTGATTCACCGTCGAAACTTGACTGGGTTGGGATCTACTCGCCGCCCGAGTCGTCAAACAGATACTTCATCGGCTACTTCTTCCTTTCTTCTTCGCCTGAATGGGAATCCGGATCAGGCTCCATTTCATTCCCGCTTATCAACCTCCGGGCCAAGTTCCAGTTCCGGATCTTCCGATGGACCGACTCCGAGATCAACCTGAAGCACCAAGACCACGACCAGAACCCGCTGCCCGGGACCAAGCACCTGCTGGCGCGGTCCGAGGAGATCGGGTTCGAGCCCGGGCGGGGCCCCGAACAGGTCCATCTCGCGGTCACGGGCCGGGAGGGTGAGATGCGTGTCATGTTCGTGACGCCTGATGGGAAGGAGAATTCTGTGAGATACGGGTTGACCCGGGGGAATCTGGATCATGTGGTGGGTACCGAGGTAGGGAGGTACGAGAAAGAGCATATGTGTGATACTCCGGCTAATCACAGTGTTGGGTGGAGAGATCCTGGGTATATACATGATGGTGTGATGACCAATTTGACCAAAGGGAAGAGATATTATTATAAGGTAATTATTTGGATGATTCTTTGTATACATTTCACAAAACATAATTCTTTCTGTTTAATTAATAATTATAATGGTTAGTTTTGATTGTTTTTAATGAATGGGTTTATTGATTAGACCTCAAAGACTCCATCTTTAGCCTCAGCCTGGGGTTAGTTCATCATCTAATCCATCAGATAGCTTTGTTATGTTCTTTAGATAAACACTTCTAATTTTCTTCCATTACTATTTTGCATTTATATGACAGTAGTAATTCCTAATGTCATATAAATGCCAGATAGCTGCAGATTAATGTGGGTGATGTGCATAAAATGTGGCATAACCAAAATGAGTATTTAGCTAGTTAGAGTTTGGACTGATTGGTAGACTTAAAAGTGGATTTTTTTTTACGGTTTTAGTTGTTACATTGTAAAATGCATTTGCATCAATTGCAGTCCAGCATCAAATGTTTTCAATGCCCCTTTGCCTTGAATTAGGAATTACATGAAAAAGATGCAACTTGGTTCCAAGAGGTCCAAGTAATGTCTGTTTGCATAATTAAGTTAGTTTTGTTAGTCTTTAAGTTGTAGTAATGTGAAACAGAAGATGGAGCTATAGCGTTGCAAACGTATGGGATACTTCATACTTTTGAGTAATTTGTTCTGTAAAGTATTGATAGATAGATTCAGTCAATATTCTGTGATCCCTTTTATCCCGGAATTCTTCTTTCCGTTTTGTTTTCTATTCCATTCTTGGGGAGTGTTGGGGGTACCCGTTTTCATTTGTTATTGGAGTAATTTTTTATTTTACCAAGATAAGAAAGTATCATTATCTTTTGATGTATAACCATACAGGTTGGCAGTGATGGAGGAGGTTGGAGCCCAACTTACTCTTTTGTGACTCCAGATGGGGAGTCAAATGAGACGGTAGCTTTCTTATTTGGAGACATGGGGACTGCGACTCCTTACACGACCTTTGTGCGTACCCAGAATGAAAGTTTATCAACAATTAAATGGATTAGCCGTGACATTGAAGCTCTCGGGGATAAACCTGCTCTTATTTCCCATATTGGAGATATCAGCTATGCTAGGGGCTATTCTTGGTTGTGGGACAACTTTTTCACCCAGATAGAGCCTGTTGCATCCCGAGTCCCTTACCATGTTTGCATCGGTAACCATGAGTATGATTGGCTGTTGCAACCTTGGAAACCTGACTGGTCGAGCTTTGGAAAAGACGGGGGAGGTGAATGTGGCGTGCCCTATGGTCTTAGGTTCCATATGCCGGGAAATTCATCTGAACCGACTGGAATGCTTGCCCCGCCTACCCGGAATCTTTACTACTCGTTTGATTTTGGACTAGTGCATTTTGTGTATATGTCAACAGAAACCAATTTCCTTAAAGGTAGCAGCCAATATAACTTCTTGAAGAATGACTTGGAATCAGTTGACAGGAAAAAGACCCCGTATGTGGTCTTTCAAGGACATAGACCGATGTATACTACGAGTAACGAAGTTAGAGATGCCCCTACTAGGCAGAAAATGGTTGAGCACCTAGAACCTCTTCTTGTCAATAACAATGTAACTCTTGCATTGTGGGGTCATGTACACAGGTACGAGAGGTTCTGCCCGATGAACAACTTCGCTTGTGGAAGCCTAGGGTTGAATGGGGGGCAGGCTTTCCCTGTACACGTCGTGATTGGGATGGCAGGACAGGAATGGCAGCCCATCTGGGAACCTAGACCAACCCACCCCGACCTCCCCATTTTCCCACAGCCCGCTCGGTCCCTGTACCGTGGGGGTGAATTCGGTTACACAAAACTCGTTGCAACAAAGGAGAAACTAGTATTTTCTTATATTGGAAATCACGACGGTGAGGTGCATGATGTAGTAGAAATCCTGGCTTCAGGTCAAGTTCTTAATGGTGAGGGTGGCGGAGAAAATAACAAAGTCAAAGAACAAGAGGAGCTTAAGGCAAGAGGTGAGCCCGAGCCTGAGCCTGAGGCGAGAAAACAGACTGATCCGACATTAACATGGCTTGCAAAAGATGCCGGTTTACTAGTGCTTGGAATTGTGATTGGTTATGTTATCGGGTACAAATCGCATGCTAGGAAAGATGCCACACTGGGTAATAATTGGACTCCTATAAAGAATGAGGATTTGTGATTTATGAGTTTTGGATTCTGTTCTGGCATGGGACAAATCTGGCAATTGTGTTCACTCAGCGCAGTACTATATTGCTATGTAGAGTTGTAAATATACACATCACATTGTAATTTTCTTGTAGCAGTTGAGGTGAAAGCTGAAGCTCATCATGTGTACCAAACCATTACTTTCTTATACTATAGATTCTTGGTGCAAAGTAATTAAATATACAACACGATGTTCTAAGTTTGACTCTCAGTGAAAGCGACATTTAGCCTCTGGTCAATTATGGACAATTTAGAATAGTTTATCTCATTGTGATCCTTTACTGACTAAAGTTATAAGATAATATTTACTCAATATACACTTTTGAGTAATACTCCGTAGTTGTGAATTTCCGTCTTAACAAAAAAAAATTGTAATAAGATATCATAAGTTGGATGAATACTTTTTCTTAGGGATGTGTAAGAGAGATGTGAAGGTAAAGACCTTTTGGTTTGGCAATTGGCATATGGTACATTGGATCTGTGGATGTTTGAGTGCCCTTTTTCCAGTGTAAGACAGACAATCTAACTTTTGTGTTCCTAATCACCTTTTATTTGGCCCATTAATATTTGGCAAATTATATTATGCACCGCACGTCCTTTTTTTTTTAATGAAAATAAACAGTGTTTGTTTTCGCCGTTTCGTACCCTTTTGCAAAAAGTAACTCTGTTATTCAGTGTCATTTTGTATACACTGCAGTTTCAGTTCAACACAACTACAGTTTCATTTCGATATAACTATAGTTTCATTCGATATTTATAGACTCAAATATGTGAAAATGTTATTTAATTTTATTTTATATACACTATATTTTCATTAAACACAACTACATGATCATTTTGATATAATTACAGCTTCATTGTACATATACCCTCAAATATGTGAAATGTTATTCAGTTTCATTTTATATACATTGCAGTTTCATTTCACTATAACTACAGTATCATTTTGATATAACTGCAGTGTCGGTTTAGATATACTGTAGTGTCAGTTGGTGTTTAATACACCAAACAAGCGGACTCCGTTAACTCTAACGACGGGCCGTTTCAATACTTAAATAAAACGACGTCGTTTTGACAGTGTCGGTTTAAACACACTGTAGTGTCTGGCGCGCGGTGTATAATCGATTATGCACCGCGGTGCATAATATAACGACCCTTAATATTTTAGTTCCCACCAGACACGCATAGAAAGTGTAATCGTTGATCGTGCGCTTTGTATGATAATCTGATTCGTATCATACTATCATTATAACAATGTACTTTTAAATATTATTAAACAAAAAATGTGTAAGCACCCTATGCTCAGATGACATGTAGTGACTTTCTCATATGCGAGGTCATGAGATTGAACAAGTTAAAATGTTATACGATTAACGTTTAAATGTTATAATAATGTGGAATAAAGGTCAAACAAGTTTTTAAAATATACCTTAATTGTGCAATTAGCCTCTCAATCTATAAAAAGCTTTAATTGAATCTTCAATTGCGCGTAACAATCCACCCTATTAGCATGTTATCTTCCAAATGAATATAACATGTCATCGCTATCGTGACCTTATGAAGAAGTTGACTGTCGTCGCCTCCTTCCGATTCGTTTAACCTCTTTCCGATTTGGAAGGAGGCAAGATGTCGCCTGCTTCTAATATGGAAGGAGGCAGGACATCACCTCCTCTTAATCTAGAAAGAGGTAAGTTATTGGTTACTAGTAAATAAGGTTCTATTTCACCGCCGCCGTTCCTCCTCCTCCACCTTGCAATCTCGAAGGCCTTGTTTTGAGTCCCAGCACAAGCCGGTGTTGAAGGAGAAGTTCAAGATCTTCAACACCTCCGCTCTGTGTCTTTATTTTGCATAGTTAGATGAGAGATGAAGGAGAAAGCTTATGAAATTACATTTTTGCCCCTAATTTTAGCCATCAACTAACAGACAAGTTAACGAAGGACTAAATTGGGCAAAGATTACATAGTTAAAGATTTAATTGGGTAAAAATAATAATTAATAACTAAATTAATAATTACGGCATAGTCGAGAGACATTTTGATTATTAACTCTTTAAATTTTCAATCATTATTTATTTAGACAATTGAAAGCAGTATTTGAGACAATTGGGCTTGTTTGGTAGCAATGCTTTGACAAGAATTTTGAGAATTGTACCACTTTAGTGATTTTTGACTTAGTCAAAAAGCTAATATTAAAGTTTGATAATCAACATTTTGACCACTTTTAATAAGGTTTCATGTTATTGTTTTGTAAAAATTCTTAAAAAATAAATAAAATTGGAAACCCCCCTAAACATACTTTTTTTAAAAATTACTGCTCATCTCAAATCACAAAGAGGATTATTTTTTATTATTTATTTTCAATATGGAATAAAGATGTTAGAATGCCGGTTGGGCACAAATTTAAATTAGGTGCATCAGTGCATGAAGCTCCCTGGCTTTTATAAGGGAGCCTCATGCTCTATCGTTCTGAACAAATTTGGGAGATGTGAAACGCCCAAATCATTCATTTTTTTTTTAATTTTTAAAATTTTAAAGTTATATTATATTAATAAATTTATTAATATTGATAATAAATTTAGTTTATAAAATAATCAAATAAATGAACATTAAAATTGCTAATTTATTTGTTTAAACATATACATAAAAATAATTTATTAACGTATTGTTTATTAAATTTAATTATTAAATAATTAATAATTAATGTATTATTATAAAATAATAAAATATAATATATCTTTATAGGTCTTCTTACATCTTTACAACTATCTACCACAATCTATCAGTCAAAATTGTTAATATAATTTGTTAACCGCTAATTAATTTAGTATCCAATAATTGTTAATCTTAGAATAAAGTCAATATATTTTTCTATATAATGTTTTAAAATAAAGACGTACAATGCTATTATGGATATCAACTTTTGATATTTTTTAAAAGTGAAACCGTTATAAACTTTGTAATAATGGAGCTTTAATTAGCAATTAATTTTAAATCATTTTTTTGGATATATTTTTTTATAATATTAAAATATTATTAAGTACAGTTTTCGTGTCACACTCTTCTTAGTTCTTTATAATTAGACCTAATGTCAATGTTAAAATATATTTTTCTTTGTTTTGCCATAATGAGATATAGGAACGAGGTAATAAGGGGTATTATATATGAGAATAAATTAATAAAGTTGAAATTAATTATGAACTAAAATGTAATCCAACACAATTACTTAGGATGTTAACTATAACTTTTAAAATAAGAGGGGAACTAAGTGTGATTAGCATAAATTAAACAAATTAAAAGGACCCAATTTAAGTAAAAAAAAAAAAAAAAAAAAAAAAAATTGAAAAGACCCAATTTAAGTAATTCCTTGTAGGCTTATCTAAAATGTTTATATATGCTACACTAGACATTCCTCCATTCTTGACAGCAAATTGTGATAACGTAGTATATATAACCATGATTTTTGTAATTGTTTTCTTAATGTGTTAAACTTTACTTTTTGTATCGAAAAAGTTTTATGTATATGCTAGTGATCGGTAATGATTTATTTTATTAATAAAATTTTGTGAGGGTGGTGGGTGGGTAGGGATAGGGGTATTATGAAATGTGTTGGTGATGGTGTCATTTTCAAGATTCTCCTCTTAGGGGGTGCAAGAGATGGTAGTGCAAGGAATCATGACATTAGCACCACATACTAAAATCATGAAATATTACTCACTACAAGCTAAGATTAGGTTGAAATTAAAGATGAGATAATTATATAATTGGTGCTTAATTAATTCTTGATTATTACTTCTTACTATCAAGATTCAATGCTTCAACATTATTCCATTCTCCTACCTTTCCTTAATCTGGAAACCTCATCTAATTTTTGTTGTCGGCTGAACTATATCATCCATTCGATTCATTCTTCATCTAATCATCTATCCACTCTAATTATTATCATTCATGTCTTAATCAAACTCACTCATTTTAATGCCAACTTTATATGGTAATGTGTATACTGTATATGGATCATAATTCATAATTAATGTCCACAGCAACTTTCTTCCCTTCTTTCTTTTTTTCCCTAATTTTAAAAATAGATTTAAATTATTGAGACTCTTCATGATGTCAATACCGTATAATTATATATTACAATTTTTCTGATCTGCATTAATATTAACTAACTATTCAATGATATATACTAGTTGAGTTAATTTGCGCTTTAGCATGTTTGAGGTGATTGATGACTAAAGATTTGATCTTCATTTAAAGCAATTCTAATTTAATTTGAGTTTATTCATACATTTTTTTTGGGACAATCATGACTACTTTGAATTTGAGGAACTCATAAAAGAGTTCTTATATGAGTTTTTTGAATTCATAACGAAGAAAATTTAATGACTTTAAAATTCTTCAAACTTAAAATACATTGAATAATGAAAATCTTTTTTTAATTTTAAAAATTTAATGCTATGCATGGTTGGTACCATAAAAAATTGTTGCTAGGTCCAAACCAAGAAAATGGAATGTTAATTACTCAAGATTATAAAGAAGAGTAAATTTTATTTAACGACACCAGCTTTAAGCTATCATTAAAACAACTATGCTTCTTGCTAGAAATAATGGAGGCCATAAGAAAAAGAATAATATCCGTTGCCAACACTCTTATCCACCAGGACTTGGCACCATTTATTCAACCATTAAAGTGATTCGTAACCTCTATTTCTCCTTTTATACTCCACTTTCTCTGAGGGTGAATTGTTAGGGATAGTGAACACAATTAGGGATGATAATTTCTCTTCGACCCTACGTAATCCGTGTTCGAATGGGGACCGGAACAAAGATACCCTTTCTCGCCCCTTACCGTCCCTAGTACACACACACATATTATATTGAAGAAATTATGAAGAATTAAAAACTTAATACTTGGTTTAAAAAAAAAAAAAAAAAAAAGACTTAATACTTGACTAGTGTTTGCATTTGGTAGTTTAAATTAAGAATTTAATATTTATTGTTTTTACTTACTAAAAATTGCACTAAACTACTAGTTTGACTATAGGATTGATCAGGGGTTAGAATTCCTTGTTCTCAAAAATTTTTCATAGGAACAGGGAGGTAAAAAAATATCTATTCCCCAACAAGGATAGGGACGGAGAGCAGGGCATGGTCATGTGGGTATACTCCCTATCCCCAATTCGTCCC